GTTTAGGACGCCCAGTTGTTTCATCATGTGAAGCTTAAGCCTTCAGAACACGCCATTCTTCTTCTTCTTCTTCTTCTTCTTCTTCTTCTTCTTCTATAGGTGATCACGGTTCTCCACAATCTCCTATCCATTGTAGCTCTTATTAAGAGTTGTCTTTTGACCATCCATCGCATTCCCTGTTCTGCCATCCATTTAAAAAAGTTCTTTAGGTAGGTTAAAGATTGGAGCTGTTTTCCTTCGTCCCTCCTGCTTAAAATATGTCCTGTGAGTGTCAAATTTTCCTATCCTTCTTTCCTCATTATGTGTCGTAGAAATTACAACTGTTTCTTTATCATGTTACGTATAGATGTCCTTTCTGCTTCCATTTGTTTGTAACAACCAATCCGCTGCGCGAAATATTTTTTTAAATGGCCCGCGGTGGGGACTGGCTTCTTTTCTTATTTCGGTGGATTGCGGTTTCGATGGATAACCGAGGAGGTAATCTTAATCTTCCTAAGTTTAACCCTTTTCCTTAAGTATTGTATGGTTTAATTATTTGCCGTTTTTATTTTATTTGTACTTTTTTTCTTTTCTTTTGGCGGGGAAATTTAAACTCAACCCTATCATCACATTTTATCGTTTAGCCTGTTTCTTAATGTTATTGCATGTTAACTTTAAATGGATGTATTCGCAAAATTAAGATAATAATTGTCCATAAACATGGCGTATATATATATTTCCCGTACATACAAAAATGAAATTAAAAATAAAATAAAAGTACAATAAGCACTATAATATTCCTTAACATTGATTTAAACTATATACAAATTTGAAGTCGTTAAATATAATAGACGACGACATGATCTTGGAGTATATCAAGTATTAACGAAGCTTCATATTATATTTATATATATGTATAGCTTCAAACCGATGACAATTAAACTAATAAAATAAAAATAATATACAAACGATATATGGTAATGATCGAGAGAAAAACACTATAAATACACTATATACGCGTTATGATTCCGATTTAAAATATACAAAATGCGAAATGTTCGTATAAATGTAAAATTAAAAATAGAAGAGTACTCCGTAGGACAGTAGATATCGATTGACAGTGAATTTGGAGCTCTCCCCCCACCCAGCCGATTTTGAATCTCGTTGTCTTTCACTTAGATTGGGTGCCAACAAAAAAATAGAGTCCAGTCGGGCTTGCGATTAACTGATAACCGTTGGAGAAAGTAGATTTGGTTTCATAACTTTTCCAAAGTTATTTTTGTCAAAGCGAATGCAATAGGGTCGGCTGTAATATGAACACGCTTCACGAGTCATACTTACCGCGCCATTAACCCCTATACTACGCGCACATCTACATAGATATCAATGGCCTGACTTACAAAAGTAGCCCCAAAAGTCGCGAGTTGCAAAAGTCGCAATTAGCTCTCAGAAATAGTTTAATCTGACAACCTTATTCTCTAATTCCATCTCTCTTAGCGTTTCCTACGATGCCGAAACTTCTCTCAGTTGCATCCATATTTACAATGATATGCGCATGCGTACTGCGCATATCTTGAGTATCGTCTTCGCGCCGTGCGACCTTTTGTGGAATGTGCATCTGCAGAGATGCTGGTTGATTGCATCTGTTCACTTCGAGGGATTCATGCTTAAAAATTAAAATTATGGTGTGCACTAAAAAGCAAATATCCTCGGAGATTTATTCTGATAATAATCTATTTTTACAGCAAACCAAACATACAATTGGTCAACCATACTGAAAAGGAAATAGCCGTCGCCGACACTCAGCCGAATTTGCTTCACTAGACTCAACAAGTCAGATAATTCTGTTAGGTTGATGCTAAAGTTTAGCAACGTCATCCTCTGCAAATTGTTAGGGGAAATCTCTGAAGTGTATTCACAGTTTATTTAGCTCTTCACTGCTTGTAAAATCAGTTAATCGCTGTTTACAAGCAACCCGAGGAAAAAAAACAAAAAAAAAACTCAGACGCTAGGAAAAATGTTTTCCACATGAACATTTTTTTTAATCATTTCATCCCCAAAAAGGCGATAATGCCATAAAACATAAGAAGAGGTTACAGAGACTGGAGAAAACACTACTGGAGAGATAGGGCCGTAAAAAGAACAGGATGCAAGGAGACAGAAGATGGCGGTTGATGTATTTAAATTTTTGAAGATCGTAGTTGACAGAAAAGCAAGAAGGAAAATGAGAAAACGTTATTAAAGAGAAAAGACAATACAAAGAATTGAATGCAAGGAGACAGAAGATGGCGATTGACGTTATATTTAAATTTTTGAAGATTGAGTTCTATAGGAAAACAAGAAACACCACAGACGAAATGTGTAACAGAAGAAACCATTTGAATAGAATTTACGTTTACAATTTCAGCAGCGACACGAAGAGATCTAGCTGCTTATCCAGAACCAGGCTTAAATTCCTGAATTCGAGCTGCCAAAGAAGAGAGTCCACTAGAACAATTGATAACGGAAATACTTACAGAAAATACATAGGGAAGCTACGTTACGACTGAAGCCGTGATACTAGGTCAGGATCGATAACATTGCAGATTCTCTTTGGGATTTTGACAAGAATTTCTAGATACAGATAGAAAGAAATAACTTTAGTTAACATTTAAGCGTTTTTTTTTCTTTTTGAAAATACAAGGTGAAGAAATGTCGAATCAAGTTTCAGAAAACATCTCAAACCGAAACGAAATCAAATGAAAAACAAAAGTTCTTCTGTCCGAATTTTTGGGACGAGGATTTGTCATTATTTACACTATGTATATTCGGGCTATTGTCTTCATCTTTGTTGTTGTTATCACGACGTTTCGGCCGTTGTGCACCCCGACATTCCTTATGTGAATATCGATCTGGGTAACTGTTGTAGAGTAGTTTCACAGTAGAGGCTTGTATTTCACTAAGTCGGTCCTAAAATAGGTTCGACGTACAAAACGTTAGGAACTTGATATAATAGTTAATGACGCAGTAATCTAGTCGGGGTGGCTGATACTTTAATATCCGACTAACGGTCGTCTGACATCGACTGACTGACCAACTCCCGACTGACTCAGCGACTGCTACTACTCCTACTTATTATAGGTGGGAGAGTCTATTAACAATAGAATAGGTGTGTTCCAGTATAACAGTAAATTGCAGGGAATTCCGAACTGAACACTTTATTATTTAATCTACATGGATAGACTGTTCTTGTTGCTCACGTCTAATGATATCTTCTCGTTTTTATTTAGTAACGCTCCGTTATTGCATGCCCCCTTCCACTACGGGACGTTAAAGCGTTCGTTTGTGAATTTGGGGGATACAGTGATTGTGAGTTCCATCCCGGGGTTGAGCAGTGTGTACTTTTTTATGGCTCTCCACCTCCATCTATCCCTTGCAGCTCTCAACAAGTTCCTTCCCTCTGCCACCTACCCCCAGACCACTGTCATCCACTTGCTTAAGCCCGCTAGGTATGCCATGCGTTGTTTTCCCTTGTCTCTTGTTCCCATTATCTGACCGGTGAGTATCAGATTCTCCAGGCCCTCCTTCCTCATTATGTGTCCCAGAAACTTCAGCTGCCTCTTCGTGATGTTAAGTATAAGCCTCCCCCTTATTTGTGCCCTCTCTAAGACATCGTTGCTCACACACTCGGTCTATGATATCCTTGCATCCTTCTGTAGAACCACGTTTCCGTCGCCTCGAGTCTCTTCTTCATCTTTCAGGAAATCGCCCAATATTCGCTGCCGTAAAGGACAGATGTCACGTAACAGCTCAATATTTTTTTCTTTGTTACCAAAGAAATCCTTCTGTCTCACAATACTCTGCATAGCTTTTGGAATGCGTCCTTGGCCATCCTAATACGTCTACGGATCTCAGTGTCGCACTTACCGTCCTCTGTCAAAACGCTTCCCAGATATTTAAATTTCCGCGTCTGCTTGATTCTAGTGTTCAAATCACATTTTGGGCTCATCCTCTTTCTGATGACCATGCATTCTGTCTTGTAGTTTATGCTTAGTCGCTTCTTCTCTGTAGCTACCTTCTCTAATAGATTTTGTAATTTCTTTTCCGTATCTGCATATCTTAGGTTGTTAAGATTGTGGTCACCAATGTTAAATCCCATAGTGTTTCTAATTCTCTCAGAATTGCCTCGCTCTATAGGTTGAACAGGTCAGGCGAGAAGACGCATACTTGCCTTACGCCTCCGAGTTGGGGGCCTCGTATCATAGATTCAGGTAGGCACGAGACCCTTCCACCGGCCATGTATGTTTGTACTGTGTCATCTGCATTGTTAAGATTGTGGCCGCCAATGCTAAATCCCATAGCGTTTCCAATTCTCTCAGAATTGCATCGCTGTTTTGGTTGAATATCTAAATGCTAATTATGCCAATGTTTAGCCCCTGACGGCTATTTTTTACCTATAGAGATATGTGCAAATACAAACAATTTTTCATATAGACTCAAGTATAAAGACAGCCAATAAGCTCAAGTATAAGCACAATTAATGCTTACTTATGTATTCAAGTATAAACACAGTGTTTAACTACAGATTCAAGTCTAAAACAGTTAAAAGAATTAAGTAGCAATAGTTATCTATAGAGTCACGCATAAACCCGACAAGTATTTTCATACTGACTCAAAGATAAACTAGAAATCAAGGAAATACGAACTTTTCAGCAAAATGGTAAAATATCTGGGAAAAGATGGCATTGAATTAAGCCATCTACTGTGGTCCATTTTAACCTTCTTATTTTTCCATTTATCGAAATTATAATTATCGACTATAATTTGGGAAAATGAAAATTTCGCCGTAATATGTTGAAAAATGTCCAAGATTTCATTTGAATTTAAGAAAATATAAAATTACGTTAAGTTGTCGAAAAAAAGAGAGCGCGTTAGTTTCAAACGAGGCCAGAATGATATGGGTGAAAAAGTTTTTATTTTTATCATTTCCACTGAACATAAGTCTCATACCAGTTGGGCAGTATCTCGAGAATCAATAGAAAATGTGGAAGTTTTTCTTATTTACACTTTTATCTATCTATCTATCTATCTATCTATCTATCTATCTATCTAATTTTATAAATCTATTTCATTTTTATCTATCTATCTATCTATCTATCTATCTATCTATCTATCTATCTATCTATCTATCTATCTATCTCACTCGTTGCTTATTTATCTATCTCGTTCATTGGTTATCTATCTCCCCTCCCTCATTATCTATCTATCTATCTATCTATCTATCTATCTATCTAATTTTTATAAATCTATTTCATTTTTATCTATCTATCTATCTATCTATCTATCTATCTATCTATCTATCTATCTATCTATCTCACTCGTTGCTTATTTATCTATCTCGCTCATGGGTTATCTATCTCCCCTCCCTCATTATCTATCTATCTATCTATCTATCTATCTATCTATCTATCTATCTATCTATCTATCTATCTCATTTTATTTATCTCCCCCTCTCTCTCTCTTTCTCTTTCTGTCTCTATCTATCTATGCAATTACGTGTTTCTATAATGGAGTATTTTAGTCTGTGTATGCTTTTGTCAAATTGCCTCCGATTTGCATGTTTCATTTTAACAAACACAATTAGGCTTCATTCTCAGCCTATATTTTTTATTGCTAACTGCTCCATCTTATTTACATGATCTCAAGTACGTATGCCGGACCGTCAGCATATCACAAAAAAATATTGAAATTCCCGATATTTCATGATGCGCAGACAACAGTTCATAGCTTTTCCTTTTCTATTCATGAAATTTTCTTTTTTTTATTCTTTTTTTCTTTTTCATTTTTATTTATTTTCCGTTCTTTTTTTTTTGTTTTCCTTTGTTTTTTTTGTTCTTGTTTAAAAATCGTATCCCGCCGCTTCATGATAGTGAATGCGATTGACGTCACCAAATTGACGATTCGAGCCGACGTATGGAAGCACAAACGGATCTGAATATCCGATGGTACAATCCTATTTTGCTAATGCGAAAACCAAACGTATGTTTGAGACAAAATACCGACCGCGTTGTTGTTGATTTTTTTTTTAACAGTAAGGTTCACCTTGCACTAAGCCCGAGGCCCACTCCAGCTAGAGGGCTACGTTAAGGGGTAGTTTATATGGACAGGAGGGAATGGTAACGGTTGACTTTAGAATTGAACAGGTTAAAATTGTAGTGATCGGGGAAACATCCTCTTAGAACTCTGTTCCACATGGCTGGGATTATCTAGAAGAATCTGTTCGAGTGGAACTCACTTCTTACCGATGGAATACGGCATAAGTGGCATGGCGGGTCCTAACAATGAAGGTCCGAACTGGTGGAACCAAGGAATTCAGTTCGTCCGAGCACTTTCCATGGAAGTAGCGATAGAGCAGTGAGAGGCATGCCACGTTCCGCCCGTGTGTGTCTGTGTGTTTGAGAGAGAGAGAGAGAGAGAGAGAGAGAGAGAGAGAGAGAGTGTGTGGGGGGTGAGAGAGTGTGTGTGTGTGTGTGAGAGAGAGAGAGAGGTGTGTGTGTATGTGTGTGGAAATAATTCTCCAACAAAAACTCAGAGACGCTTTTGAACTATATCGGGATTGGAAAGTGAAGTCTGGAAATCTCCCGCCCAAATATGGCAACAGTACTCCATTTTCGGCTTGATCTTGCTTTTATAAAGGTAGAGGATAACAGGAAGAGTCAGGTACTTACTGGAACGGTACAGGGAGCCGATAATTTTACCTGCATCTTTAGCGATTGATCGTATGTAGGCGTTCCACCTTTCGGTGATGAAATGTAACCAATTTTATTTTAGAGGCATTGAATGTAACCAGCCAGTTTCCAACGCCCCCCTCCCCCCTGAGAAGTTATTGTTAGATCGGAAGAGAGGTCAGCTACCAATCTTTGACTGTCAAGAGTTTTAGAGGAGCACCCATATATCGTCGAATCATCGGTATAGACGTTTACAAATGATCCAAGTATATTCTTGCTATTAACAATGATGTTAAACTCCGGGATCCTGGCCAGAAGCCCGCACTCTGGATTAGTGACGCCAAAACTTGCTTTGTTTTTAGCATTTACTTCATTTTTCGTTTTTATTTGTTTCCTTCTCAGATAATTTTCTTTAACTAGTTTACTGTCTGTCATCACTTCACGTACGGGCAATTAAATGTAACCTCTATTTTCTTATACAATGGATGGAGACGGCAAATGGGTGTGTCTTCTTTAGAGTTCAGAGACATGTGGTGACCTGAATTATTAATTTGTTGACTTCGCGTGTGATTTAAATCTTTTGTGAAGTAAACGAATGAAGCTGCCAACAGTTGTCTTTCCTAAGGTAAGACGTTAATCGACTGTCTGTCATTATCAGTTCCCGACTTAACTAAGTTTGGTACATGCTCACAAGTATAGAGAACCTCGCAAATTCACTAAATAGTAGAAATTGTCAACCAGATGAGCTAGTTAACAATTACATTCTCGACTTAAACTGACATATAACATTGGGACGACTATTGTCGATTAGACGACATGCTGTAAATCAGTTAGATTTCTCATTTATTTTTTTTAAATAACTGTTACTTTGAGTCCTCTCTAAATCTGATTGTCTTGCGCTAATCCCCAAAAGTGCTATAGGTCTTTCAAAGTTTCTATGCCGAAAGAATAGGATCTTATTTATACCGTATATAGTCGTGTAACGCGTATATACAGTATAATCGTGCGACCCCCTAATTTTCACTTATAAAAAATGATTTTATCGTGTATCATGCGTTTTCTTTGAAAGACCAAATTACTGTAGATTCACCTCGTTTCCTCTATCTCTTTATCCAATCTTTTAGTTAAAGAAGTTAAAAATATAAAAGAGAATGATAAAAGTATCGTTAGTAACGCTATACTCGTTACGTAAACGCGTACAGCCATAAACAACTGATCGAGAAACAGCTAAACATCTTTTAAACGTAATCAATGGAAAAAATGCATATTCGCTATGTTTGTATTTTATAATACGATACTAATATATGGATATTTACACGCATTATTATTGGATACAGTTAAGTAAAACATCAGTTTTATCAAAATCATGTTTATTTTAAATACTGCTGTACTTTTTGACTACAGTAAAAGAAAATGGATATATATAGTTTGGTCAACTGTGTAACCAGGCCCAGCAGTATATAAGGAGTATTGGCCAGCAGTGCATAAGGAGTTTTCCTTCCGTAGTGATTGGTAGAAGCATATATATATATATATTCCCCGCGTCGGAGTAGATGCTACGGTTGTAGTATCTGTTCCGTGCCGGAGGCGTTCTCTCTTCCTTTGCGTTCTCCCCCAGTCGTTGCGTGACATCTGTTACGTAGCAGTGGTATGACCAGCTATGATGACAAGCTTTGACCAGCGGCCCGAATGGAAACACTCGGGTCCCCATGTTAAAAAACGACCTTGTGTCACAACCTGACTCTGTATGAGTGGGGGTTTAAAGTAAATCTCGGACCAGCAGCACATACGCTAATCTCGTGTACTATGCGACCCCCTTAAAATTAGCTTCAAAATTAGGCCTTCAAAAGTCGCATGATACGCCAGTAATTTTTTTTAATATCGTTGTTCACTGTGTATATTATTGTAGTTTGTTCCGTAACTATGGATATTATTCTTCCATTTGGTATTGATGTCAAGAACATTTCCATAATGTTTACTGTTTCCAAAGTTATTAAATTGTGCTTTTAAATTCCAGTATTAATATCAAGGACTTTGATTTTAGTTTCTTGGAGACAACATAAATCAATATTATAATTATTAACATCTCTAATCAATAAATCCTGCTGTTCTTTTTTCGCAAGTACTCCTAACATGGTGACATTTTTAAATATACAATTGGAGGAATTTACAAATTTAAAAAAAAAAAATGTCCCGCTTTCAAGTTTTGACAACTTGAAAATCATTATCTTCGACACCAAAATTTCCGCTTATCTCATTACATCAATAGACCGGGATCAATGTATAGTACCTGTTCTCCTCATTTTATAATGAAGAAGGCGTCTAGTTGCGGAAATTAACAACACAGCGATAGCATTTCCCTCACTGCTCGAAAAGAGGAACTGACAGCTTTTATATTTGCATAAGCCCTATCTCTGATATTGAGGACTTTTACCCAGAAATATAACACCTTAAAACTATAGAAAAATTCCCAAATCACCTCGGCACTTCCTCTTTAGGGACGCCTCAGGCAATAAACTCACATCTGGCAATAAATTCAGACACTCCCGGGGGAAAGGCAAACCCTAGGAGATATCCTTTATTCGGCCTTGTGCCACATCTGACTGCGCGGGATGGTTGGTAGATATCCTGCAGTTGGAGATTCATTCTCTTGACTCACTTCTAGGAGCTGACTACTTCTACGCGCCACTGGCGAATCTTATATGTGTTGTTCTTGTCCTGAGTATTATCTTTCATTACCAACCTTCGTGTGATTATTCTATTCAGTAACCTTCTCTGGGATACAACAAAATATGTGGAGGATTTTGATAGAATGAAATTTTCGATGTCTTTAATAAAACATACGCGTCAGAATAGCTAATTACCATATTTGGATTAAGGCTTTAGATATTTAAATATTTTATTCCCGTGACTGAATATAGAAGACAGATGATATCCTTTACGAATTGTTCTCTGAATACAAGATAAAAAAATTTTATTTGCATTCAATTATTTCTGCGCGTGAGTTTCATGGCTGTCTGTACATTTGCCAACTATAACACCAATCTTTAAAGTGCCTATTTCCGCCAATACTGGCTGACTGAATCTGACTTATTCGTAACAGGAGCCGTGTTGACTTTGAAACGAGGCTAACGAAATAACCGCGCCGCTTCAATGTCAATGTGTCGTGGGGTCTGTCTTTGGACTCGTTTCTTACGCAGAGATTTCTCTATATGCATGCGTGCGCACAGATGGAGGGAAAAAAACAGACCATATCGTGGGCTGCACGTTATCGAAATGAATAATAATTTCCTGCTGGGATAAGCGAAAGGAGATCTAAATTAAATGTTGTCTACCGTTTCATACCAACAACTACAAGTACAAAACAAATGGTGTTGGTAGAACAAGATCTTCATCTGTTACAATCTGTTCCATGCTAGAGGCAATCGTCGTGGCCTGACGATTGCCTCTAGCATAAAACAGACTGTCGCCTCTAAGTGTTGACTTCAATGTTCACTTTTATATTTACAAAGGGTCTATCTCTGATATTGTGTACTTTATCCCATAAATATAGCACACCTTACAACTATATTTTTCATATATATATATATATATATATATATATATATATATATATATATATATATATAAATATATATATATATATATATATATATAGTTTATGCAAACTTAGGTAATCCGTATGGGTAGACCCGAGGAGGATGATATCCAGAGAGCTCAATGTAAAATTCAGAGCATATATGTTTGAATAAAAGACAGACCACGTTAAGATTCCATGTAATAAGCTCTTTCACCATAACCCCTTTAACAGGGTTCTGGATCATCAGACTTTACTTCCAAAAAGCTGAAATGAAAAATGAAAAGAAATTCACACGTTTTGACGGACCTCATCAAGTATACGTAAAATTAAAGAAGTGAGGAAGTGAGGTGGGAGAGAGGATATGAGTGTGTCATGTATCATTTCAATTTCCTATTTTTAACCCATATATATATATATACGGATATATTTATAACTGAATTTTTACACACATACACACGAACTTATATATATATATATATATATATATATATATATATATATATATATATATATATATATATATTGTGGTATTCATCTTATTACAAGTCACTGGCTACCTGATGATTGTATAAAAGCACATGAAACTAATAGTAGTAGCCAGTCATTGCTGACATGTTTATTTGAATTAATATTCTAAAGCTCTGTCATTTATTGTGGCATGGAGCACTTTTTATAAAAAATGAAATA